CCAATCAGGGGGTTGGGGCGCGCCACTGTCACACTCAGGGCAGGGCCGATGGGGAGGTTATGGCTCTACCCTGTCACACACAGAGCGCAGGGCGATCAGGGGTTGGGGAGCTCCCCCCTATCAGGCACAGAGCAGGGCTGATCAGGGGGTTGGGGCACCTTCCCCTGTCACGAACAGAGCAGGGTGGATAGGGAGGTTGTGGCCCTGCCCCCTGTCACACACAGAGCCGCAGGGCGATCAGGGGGTTTGGGCGCTGCCCCCTGTCACGCTGATCCCGGTGCCGGGAGGCCTCGCTGCTCCGCTGATCCCGGTGCCGGGAGGCATATTACCCTTTTACTATATAGAATAGAGGCCAGGTGCACGGGTGGGGGCCGGCTGGTTTGCCCTGAAGGGTGTCCTGGATCAGGGTGGGGGTCCCCACTGGGGTGCCTGGCCAGTCTGGCTGAGGGGCTGAGGGCCGTTTTCAGGCTGGCGGGTGACTGAAGCTCCCAACCGCTCCTTTTTTTCTTTTTCTTTTTTTCTTTTCTGGGCCAGCTTTAGCTCTGAGGCCTCTGCTGCTGAAAGCAGGTTTCTGGCCTTTGTTTACCTTCTGTATTTGATACAATGTTGCGGTCCGGCTGGCTGAAGCCCAGCTGACTAAAGCAGGTTTCTGGGGTTTTGTTTAGCTTCTTTATTTGCAACATAGTTGCTTAGAGTTGCAGCTGAGAGGCCGGCAAGTCAGGCGGGGAACGTTGGAGTCCGCAGTCACTGGAGCAAGCAAGCCTCCCTGTTCGCTTCAGTGCGTGGCTGCCAGCCGCCATCTTGGCTGGCAGTTAATTTGCATATCGCCCTGATTAGCCAATGGGAAGGATAGCGGATGTATGGCTAATTACCATGTTTCTCTTTTATTAGATTAGATACTAGAGGCCTGGTGCATGAAATTCGTGCACGGGGTGGGAGGGAGTCCCTCAGTCCAGCCTGCACCCTCTCCAATCCGGGACCCCTTGGGGGATGTCCAACTGCCAGTTTAGGCCTGATCCCTGTGGGCAGTCGGACATCACTCTTGCAATCTGGGACCACTGGCTCCTAACCGCTCACCTGCCTGCCTGCCTACCTGATCACACCTAACCCCTCTGCCTGCCTGCCTGATCACCCCTAACTGCCTCTGCCTGCCAGTCTGATCACCCCTAACTGCCCTCCCCTGCCAGCCTGATTGCCCCTAACTGCCTCTGTCTCAGCCCCTGCCACCGTGGCTTTGGAAGGAGGACTGGACGACTGGAAGATGTCTGGTCTATCCGGTCTAATTAGCATATTACCCTTTTATTATAGATGTGTTTTGCAGCCAAGGTGGAACATAAGACAAAATGCTTGTCCTGCATCACACCTAATGTGTCCAAAATGTAATATATTGAGTCAGTGAATGAATAAATATATATCCTTCATCAGTTTGCTCCACATAGTTTAGTTTTAGGCTGTATATTTTTAGGGCCAAGGAAAGAAAATGGCAAAGTACTGAGGTTTGGCTGGAGGAGCTTGGGTTGTGGTTATAGAAGAAAGGATCGTGTCACAGGTGAACTCTGCCTTCCTTAAAAAAATATATTTTTATTGATTTCAGAGAGGAAGGGAGAAGGAGAGAGAGATAGAAACACCAATGATGAGAGAGAATCATTGATTGGCTGCCTCCTGCAACCCGGACATGGTGTCCTTGACTAGAATAGAACCAGTGACCCTTCAGTCCGCAGGCTGACGCTCTATCCTCTGAGCCAAACCAGCTTGGGCTCTGCCTGTTTTTTAAGTCTTTTAAAAGTATATTTTTATTGATTTTAGAGAGAGAGGAAAGGAGAGGGATAGAGAGATAGAAACATCAATCGGCTGCCTCCTGCATGCCCCCTACTGGGGATCAAGCCAGCAACCTGGGCATGCGCCCTGACCAAGAATCCATCTGTGACCTCCTGGTTCATGGATCGATGCTCAACTACTGAGCAACACTGGCCAGGCAATTTCTTTGAACCTTTTGACTAGTAAGCCTTCTTAACCACACATGCTATTGAGATTCCATATGTAGTGGCTTTTTAGGAGCGGTGAAGATACAGGCCAATGTTGCTGTTTAGGTTACTCTTATTCAAATTAATGGAGAGTTACCTGGTTACAGAAAGAAAATATCTTTATTCTGTGGTCCTAACCCTTTAATTGATGCTACCCTCACACAGCTCTGACAGCGTGGCAGACTAAGAGGCTATTTTTCCCTTTTTTTTTTCAGCATTAAAAGATGCGCCAGAGAAGCTGAAACACCTTGAGATAGAAAACGGTTCATTGCCCTCCCCTCGTCCCAACATTGATGTTAACATCAACAACCAGGTACTCAGATTTCTCCTTATATACCTGTCACACATCTCTAGACCTCCCAGAAATCCTTTCTTTCCAAAGCTAATACTTTTTCTTCTCTTTTGCTGGGATATCTGTCTGTGCTGGATTCTTATAAACCTGTTTTCTCATTTAAAAAGGACAAATTTTCAGATGTTTAGGAGGGAAAGAGAAACTTGGGCATTGGCATTAAGAACTGTAAGGTCATCTCATAATTTTTTACACATATAGTCAAAAGTGATATAGATGGTAACTTTTAATTTTGATTCAGCCTTTTTATTTTCTTCATTCTGTTTAGTGGGTCTTGATTTAGTTGAAGAACTTAGTGAATGGCTTTTGAAATTATAGGAGGATTTTTTGAAAGGAGCTGCTCTGTAATATAAACAAGGAAGAGACTAGAACTCTAGATGCTTCAGATTTATCTTTCATACCTTTCACCACCCTGTCTCCTTGGAGTTTTTAGGCATTGGGTGGGGGTTAGGGGTGCATACCAATTAAACTTTAGTTAATTGCAAAGCATTTTCTTACTTCTACATGCAATATCTAAAATAAATTGAATGAGATAAAAATAATTAATTGTTTTAGCTACCCGATGTCCCCATTAAATGGAAGAGTGAATTTTAGGTAATGATCTGGAGACACCCTTGTATAGACAACAGATAGCAAGGCTCTGTTGAATGAATCCTGTTTTAATTCGGTTTTAAGGAGGAAAGGGGAACACTTGATCTACAGTGTTCTTTCATCCCTGGATAACTAATGGGAATTTTTTCAGAGACAAGTATGAAGTAGAGAGTGATTTTCTTCTTTCTTGCATAGTCATTTGTTAAAGCTGTTCTTTTGAATCCAATTTTTTTTTCAATGTGTTTTTGTTTTTTCTTAGAAATATCTTTTAGAAGCTGATTAAATTTCAGGAAGGCTTTTATTTTCTTGACCACCTCGATATTTGTAATTATATTGGTCTGTGTGCTTTCACATTGTCAGTTGTTTTACTATCACTGTAAAGTAGGAGAATGCGGGGTCGGAGACAGAAGGTTAATTTGACACAAATTTAGTGGAGGACTTGAATGAAACTAAAAAAGAATGAAGCCTGGTGACTCTTGGGGAGGGGAGAAGCAGAGTGAGTGTTCGTTACACTGGTTGAGAACTTAAGCAGACTTTGGGGTGCCTTTAACCCCTGATATAAGCACCTGACCGCCAAGGACTTCTCTATGGTAGAGGGTCATTTCAGATTAGTTCTAATTGGGGTATTTAAGAATTAGGTGTCCTTTTAATTCTTTTGGTCTTATGCTTGACACATTTTGGCCATCCAAGGCAGATATATCAGCAGCTAGGTGCCATTGGAGTTATGTGCTAAAAGAAAATTAAGTGAAGTGGTAGGTCAAAGTACAGGCAGGGAGACTTTTAAAGCCTTTGGTACTTTTGCAAAATTGCCTCCCAGAAAGATGGCAACAATTTATACTTTTACCTGCGATGTTAGTTGAACTGTTGTTTTTGTTTTTAATATAGGCATGAAAATAAATATGTGCCTATGTCAGAGGCAGGTTGCTCTGACAACCCTATTATATGATTACTAAGTCATCTCAGGTCTCCAACATAATTGTCTCTGAAAAGAAAATGTCAAAGCATTTTAACTAGCTATAATTTTTTTCAGCTTTATTGAGATAAAAATCTATAATAATAAAAGTGTAATATGCAAGCCAGGCCAGCCAAGGCAGGTGCGATGCGATTGAGGAGGAGGGGGCACCGCCATCGCCCCATGATCCTCCTGCAGAGGGAGGCCCAGGCCACTGGCCAGCAGGGTAATCAATCAGGGGGCTCCGCAATGGCTACCCTGCAGGCAGTGCTGCAGTGAGTGGGCGGGGCCTCCTCTGTGGAGCAGTCAATCGCGGGGCTCCCGGACTGCTAGAGGGCACAGGCCTGGCTGAGGGACCCTCCCTCCCAATGCATGAATTTCATGCACTGAGCCTCTAGTTGACAAATAAAATTATAATATATTTAAAGCACACGACATGGTGATTTGCTATATGTATACATTGTGAAATGATTCCTGCAATTAAATGAACACATCCATCACCTCAGAGAGTTATCATTTTGTTTTGTTTTGTTTTTTGGTGATAATGTTTAACAGCTACTCTCTTAGCAAATTTCAAGTGTACAGAACAATATAATGAACTATAGTCACCATGCTGTACATTAGATCCTCAGAACTTATCTGTGTTATCACTGAAAGCTTGTACCCTTTACCAACCTCTCCCTATCCCCCTCACCCTCAGTTTCTAGTAGCAACCATTCTACTCTGTTTCTATGATTTTTTTTTTTTAGATTTTACATATAAATAATATGCAGTACTTATCATTCTCTGTCTGACTTATTTCAGTTAGCATAATGCCTTCCAGCATTTTCCATGTTGTTGCAAATGGCAGGATTTCCTTCTTTGTAAAGACCGAATAATATTCCATGTGTGTACACACAGTCACACAAACATCACATTTTCTTTATTCACTCATTCTTTAATGTTCCCATAGGTTGGTTCCATATCTTGGCTATTGTGCATAATGCTGCAGTGAACATGGGAGTATATCTATTCAAGATAGTGATTTTGTTTCCTTTGGATATATCCTCAGAAGTGGGATTGCTGGATCATAAGGCATGAAGTAGCCATGCTCAGAAAAGTACAATAAAGACTTATTTCAATTAATAGGAACATTCTGAAGATGAGGAGGTTACACACATAAATATAGTCTAGGCCAGTCGTGGGCAAACTTTTTGACTCGGGGGCCACAATGGGTTCTTAACCTGGACCGGAGGGCCGGAACAAAAGCATGGATGGAGTGTTTGTGTGAACTAATATAAATTCAAAGTAAACATCATTACATAAAAGGGTACGGTCTTTTTTTTTTTAGTTTTATTCATTTCAAACGGGCCGGATCCGGCCCGCGGGCCGTAGTTTGTCCACGGCTGGTCTAGGCCAAGGTAGCAATGCTCAGATTTTTATGTACCGAATCACATGGGAAAGCTTGTTAAACATTCAGATTTTGGGATCGCACCCAATTGCAGATATGTAGAGACCATACTAAGAAACATAAAATTAAATAATCACATTAATTAAATCATTTTAAACCTGAAATATTGGTGCAGTACATAACCCCATACATGCCAGCTAGCCTGTTTTACAGAACAAAAGCTGTATCTGTGACTAAGAAAATATTTAGAGTGCATTTCTTATTTAGACCAGTGTTAAATAGCAACCATAATAATAATAATAATTGTTGTTGTTATTGATTGTTATTCATTTTAAGTTAAGTAAAATATCAGTTGTAGTGTAGATAATTTAAACTTACTAATTTGCTTCCTCCCACTTCTTTTCATAATAGTTAATTTATATTGCTTTAATTATGATCTTTATTGACTGGATTTGTGTTTTATTCTATCATTTTCATAAGTCTATAGCTGAGAGTGACCTGTTTGTGACTATATAAAATAATCCAAACATAATTATCTGCCTGGTGACAGCTACAGAATTACAGGGATTAGCCTAACTGAAAATTAATTACAATAGTCTTCCCATATCTATGATTTCACTTTCCATGGTTCCAGTTACTTGTGGTCAGCTGTGGTCCAAAAATGTTAAATGGGAAATTCCAGAAATAAACAGTTCGTAAGTTTTAAGTTGCGTGCCATTCTTGGAAGTGTGATGAACTATCACGCTGTCCCACCCAGGAAATGAATAGTTACTTTGGTTATCAGATTGACTGTCATGGTCTCCCGGTGCTTGTGTGTTATTTAATAATGGCCCCAAGTGCAAGAGTAGTGATGCTGGCAATTCAGATATAACAAAGAGAAGCCATAAGGGGCTTCCTTTAGTAAAAAGGTGAGTACAGTACAATAAGATATTTTGAGACAGAAACCACATTCACATAATTCTTATTATTGTACATTGTTATAATTGGTTTATTTTATTAGCAGTTATTGTGTGTATTCTCTTTCTGTGCCTCATTGTAGACATATATGTAGGAAAACATTGTTTGGTACGATCTGTGCTTTGAGGACCCAATGGGGATCTTGGAGCATACCTGCTGTGATAAGGGGGACAGCGAATGGCACACATTCTTTGTGTGTGGTTAGTTCAGGCATTTGTCCCAGGTAATCTAGTCAGTTATTCAGTTCCTTAAAGACAGGAAATTGGGCTAGATGGTTTTTTGTGGTCCCAATCAATTCATATTTCATGTTTGTGATAATCAAGCCTTAGTTTGAAATTATATGTAGGAGTTGACTATTCCTGGAATAGGCTATGACTGTTTAAGACACATAATTTCCTGGTTGTCTAAATATGAACTTTCATCAGCTCCTTTTCTATTTCCATGTAACTATCAGATTTGCTTATAGTTTATTTTTAATATCTAGGAGGAAGTGGTGAAGCTGACTGAGAAATGTCTTAATAATGCCATTGAGAGCCCAGGATTGAATGCTAGGCGAGTTCCTCCTGACTTGAAGAGTAACATTTTGAAGGCTCAAGTAGAAGCAGTGCAAAAGGTAAGCTGCTTTAAGAGAGATAGTCCTGGTGAAATGAAAAGAACATGAAATTTAGAGTCCAGACACTCTGAAAAGTGAATAAAATACATGAACATTAAGCAAGGGTGGCCTAGCTAGTGATTAAAGATAGAGAGTACACCAAGAAACATACTTGAGATGGCAAAATGCCTTCCTAATTCTAAATACAAGCTCGATTAAGAGGAATACTCACGGGATACAAAGTAAGAGTAGAGACGCTGTAGGGTTTAATAAGTTTTTTAAAAAGGTAAAAATCCTATAAAAGCAAGTCCTTAATCTTTGCCTCTTGTATCGCCAGAAAATCTAGAGATGCTTAGGTTCCTGTCACTATTAAGTCTATGATGTTAGGGTTTTTTAATCAATCTGCTATTTCCTACCACCCATCTACCCCCAATTTGGCAAAATTGTGAAGTTCTAAGCAACAAGAATGAAAGTTACAGGTGAAAGAGTCCACGGTGACATCATGAGTGATACATGGGTTGAGACCAGCCCCCATTACATTTTTGGCATCCATGCTCTCAATGTCAGCTTTCCCTGGGCGCTCCCCTACTTCAGACTGTCCTGTATAGTAAACCAGGACAAAAGCCCGTTTCACCAAGTCATGTCAACAAGATTTCAAAACATCCTACTGTTGAGAAGATGCATTTTACCCCTTCTGTACCCGGGCACAGCCTTGAGAAGAACTGAAAGGACTTGAAGAATATTGTTTGTGTTTTTGATCTATCCTCTCCCCCAATATAAACATAAAACATAATATTTTCATATATAAAATAAATAGGACAACTTGAGTTTGAATCCTATTTCTAATCTACCACCTACTAGCTTTGTGACTTGGCAAGTTATTTAATTTATCTGAATCTCGGTTTAATTGTATTTGAAAAAAAGATCGTGGTAGTACCTACCTTAAGGTAGGTTACAGGATGAAATGATAATAAATGTAAAGGACACAGAATAGTGCCTGGCACATAATGAGCGTTTAATATGTGTTGGAACTACATGTAGTGGCAGTGGTAGTAGTTGTCATTGCTTTGCATTTCAGTTATATTTTTGGATATTTTTTGAATTGCAGAAGAGAGAAATAACTTGACTAGCCCTTAATTAAACAGATTTTATTTTATAGTTAAAAACCTTACCATGAAGAAAAATCCAGGACCAGATGACTTCATTGTAGAAATCTACTGAACATTTAAGGAAGAACTAATGACAGTTCTACACAAAGGCCTTGAGAACATAGAGAGGAGGGAGCACTTTCCAACTCATTTCATGAGACTACTATTACCCCAATACCAACATCAGAAAAACATATGACGAGAAAAGAAACGATAGACTAACTCTCTTGAACATGGACTCAAAAGCCCTTAACAAAATATAAACAAATCATACTCACAATTTATGTAAAGGATAGTACATCCTGACCACATAGGGTTTATCTCAGGAAGAAAGTTGGTTATTATTCAAATACCAGTATAGTTTACCATGTTAAAAAAAATAAGGAAAATTTTCTCAAGTCCTATGGAAAAGTCATTTCACAGAATTCAACCCCCCTTCATGATAAAAACTAACAGCAAACTAGAAATAGAATAAAACTTCTTCAGCCTGATAAAGGGCATCTATGGGGAAAAATAAAATGCCAAATATATACCTTAACATCTGTTTTCTCATGTAAATTCAAAAAATTATGACATGGAAACTTTTTGGAAATCTGTATGTATAGACTAACACACCATGGTGTCTTAAATAATTGAAAGTTATCTAGTAAAGCATGTGGCTTTGTATACTAATATATTCAAGTGGAAGCATGGATTACTAATTTGGATATGGGATAAGATTGCACTTGGTGCAGTACTGATATTTCCATAGATAAGGTATGATTACTTCTTTTGGAAGTGAAGCAAACTGATATTTCTGTTTTTACAGGAAAGAAATATAAGTTTCTTGTTACTTTACTATCCTCCACAAAGATTTAATATTTATACTCTTTTTTTATTTGTTTGTTTTGGTTTTGTTAATCCTCACCCAAGAATATTTTTCCAATGATCTTTTAGAGAGAGTGGAAGAGAGAGAGAAAGAGAAACACACCGATGTGAGAGAAACACATGGATTGGTTGCCTCCTGCATGTGCCCCAACCAGGGCCCGGGCCAGGAAGGAGCCTGCAACCAAGGTACATGCCCTTGACCGGAATCAAACCCAGGACCCTTTGGTCCACAGGCAGCTCTATTCACTGAGCCAAACTGGCTTGGGCAATGTGTATTATTTCTTTTTCTTAGGTTACAAGAGAAGATAGCCTATTGAGTCATAAAAACGCCAGTGTTCAGGATGCTGCCACAAACAGGTACAGTTCTGGGTAAACTGAATTAAGTGATGTTTTCTTCCTCTTCACTTTTTTGGGGGGTCTTTTTTCCTATTCTCCAATCTATCACCATCCGATTAGACTGAATTAAATGATGTTCTTTTCCTTTTAACTTTTCTGTGTAGCCGTTTTTCTTCATTCCCAATCTATCACCACATCATTTCAGGGTATCTATTTGAAAGACAACTTGAATTCACTCTTCTGTCCATTACATAGCTGCTTAGTACCTACTTTTAGATTATTTGAAGGTAGTCCTAATTAATCTCTCTATGTTCTCATTCTTTTTGAATTGATTGAAGTTACAGAGCAAAAACAACCTTTACAGGTATTTTTAATCTTATAAGGTACCTGGGAGGAATGTATGTTATTTCTCTTGGGTATGGTAGTTAACTTTCCTGTCATTCCAATAGCCTCGTTCTTATAAACTTTCTTTCTTTCTTTCCTTTTTTATTATTTATTTATTTTTAATTAAATCTTTATTGTTCAGATTATTACAGTTGTTCCTCTTTTTTCTCCCCATAGCTCCCCTCCACCCAGTTCCCACCCCACCTTCTGCCCTTACCCCCCCACCACCACCACTGTCCTCATCCATAGGTGTACAATTTTTGTTCAGTCTCCTCCCACACCCCTTCCCCCCTGAGAATTGTCAGTCCACTCCCTTTCTATGTCCCTGATTCTATTATATTCACCAGTTTATTCTGTTCATCAAATTATTTATCTTCTTAAAGGATACCTTTCAGCATTTCCTATAATACTGGTTTGGTGGTGATGAACTCGTTTAGCTTTTTCTTATCTGTGCAGCTCTTTATTTGACCTTCAATTCTGAATGATAGCTTTGCTGGGTAAAGTAATCTTGGTTGTAGGTTCTTGCTATTCATCATTTTGAATATTTCTTGCCACTCCCTTCTGGCCTGCATAGTTTCTGTTGAGAAATCAGCTGACAGTCGTATGGGTATTCCCTTGTAGGTAACTGACTGTTTTTATCTTGCTGCTTTTAAGATTCTCTGTTTGTCTTTTGCTCTTGGCATTTTAATTATGATGTGTCTTGGTGTGGTCCTCTTTGGATTCCTTTTGTTTGGGGTTCTCTGCGCTTCCTGGACTTGTAAGTCTATTTCTTTCACCAGGTAGGGGAAGTTTTCTGTCATTATTTCTTCAAATAGGTTTTCAATATCTTGCTCTCTCTCTTCTTCTGGCACCCCCATAATTCGGATGTTGGTACGTTTGAAGTTGTCCCAGAGGCTCCTTACACTATCTTCATATTTTTGGATTCTTTTTTCTTTTTGTTTTTCCAGTTGGGTGTTTTTTACTTCTTCGTATTTCAAATCTTTGACTTGATTCTTGGGATCCTCTAGTCTGCTGTTGGGAGTCTGTACAATATTCTTTGTTTCAGTCAGTGTATGCTTAATTTCTAGTTGGTCCTTTTTCATATCCTCGAGGGTCTCACTAAATTTATCGGCAGTTTCTAGAAAATTCTTGAAAAACCTTATAACCGTGGTGTTGAACTCTATATCCAGTAGTTTGCTTTCCTCCATTTCTGTCATTTGTGACCTGTTTCTTTGTCTCCACATTTTGGCTGCTTCCCTGTGTTGGTAGAGTGGCTTTGTGTGCTAGGTGTCCTATAGGGCCCAGTGGCTCAGCCTCCCCAATTACCTGAGGTGGACACTCTTGGTGCACCCCTTTGTGGGCTTTGTGCACAGTCTTGTTGTAGTTAAGCCTTGATTGTTGTAGGTATCACTGGGAGGAATTGACCTCCAGGCCAATTGGCTGTGAGAATCAGCTGTGGTTATGGTGGGAAAACTTCTGTGCTGGAGACACCCTTATGGGGCAAGACTTGCTTCAGTGGGGCTTTGGTGCTCACTGAGTCTTCCCCCCTGAGTGTGTCCTTTATGCATCTGAGGAGTTGTAATCTGGATGGTCCACTCTGACCACTGTGTATACTGGCTCTTGGATCTCTAAGGAGGTGCTAATTTAGCCTCTGCCTGAGGCTACCCAGCAGGAGCTATGGAGAGATCTGCAGATTCCTTTTCTTTGTTTGGAATTTGAAGGTGCCTAGATGAGGCCCAGCTGTGAAGCAATGCAAGCTGCTGTGGGGCCTTGGGCCTTCGTTTTGGAAGTTCTTGGTCTCTCTGACCCAGCTGCAGTTAGTTAGGTAATTTTAGATTGCAAAAGGCCAGGGCATTCATATGCAAAAGCCTCTGCACTCAGCTTGGGTGGGGCGGGGTCTCAGGGAATCCACCGGGCGGAGCAAACAGCTATGGCTGATCCTCAGCCCTGCCCTAAGAGGACCCGGGTCTCACTGTTCCACGGTAATCGCTGCAAGCACTTCTGGGAGAAAGCCGCCCTTGAGTTCTGCCCGATGCCAGATAGTCCAGTTTCTCCCCGTATGGGTCTGGGTCCCAGAGACTCGCCCGGAACCTCTGCAATTTATTTCCACACCGCACCTCCTCTGAGTCTCAGTGTGCTTTTCTCTTTCCTTCTAGTTGTAGAATTTCCACTCAGCCAGCTTTCCTGTGGTTCTGGATGATGTCCGTTTTGTCTTTTAGTTGTTTTTTTGAAGTGGTTGTGCGAGGCAGCAATTTCCGGTGTTTACCTATGCCGCCATCCCTTATAAACTTTCTTACTATAGGTTCTCATAGTCCAACAAATTTCTTTGCTTTCCTTTTGCAGTCCTTTGTGCCTCTCTCTTTTTTAATGGGCATTATGCCATTTATTTGTCTTCTGGGCCTTTTCCCTGCTCTATGCCAATTTGTTTCTTTCATCACTGTGTATTCAATGTTCTGTGCTTAGTTGTTGCTAAACATTGTTGAATGAATGAATGCTGCTTTTTTTCCTCATTATTCAAAACTTACTCAGTGGAGCATTTTCTGATTAATTATATTTGGTTCCAGATACTGTAATCAACATAGCACTTAAGAATATAGCAGGCTTTGTATATAAGACTTTATAATTAGTATTCAACAAACATATTAATTGGTGATTGGGGTAAAACTGAAATTTCAACTTAACCTTTTAGTTAATTCCAATAAATCAGTTGACATTTTTAATACTATTATTATTGGAGCCTTTTAGAATAACCTCATTAACTTTTTTTTTTGCCAAAAGGAAGATAATGGTCCAGTTTCTTTGAACTCTAAAGGCTGGAAAGAGCATAGAATATACTCCACTTTACTTCCAGACTTACTTTTCTAAATGGTTGTTGATATTTTCAATAATTTCTTTCCTGCCAGGATTTGAAATGCATCCTTTAAAATATACTAAGTTCTTCTCATCAGGCAAAAACTAAAGTGTTTCCCTTAATTAAGATCAGGAACAAGACAGGAATGTCCACTTTCACCAGTTTTATTCAGTATAGTACTGGATGTGCTAGCCACAGCAACCAGACAATAAAAAGAAATAAAAAGCATCCAAATTTGAAAGGAAGAAGGAATATTGTTATTAATTTGCAGATGACATGATACTGTATATAGAGAACCCAAAAAACTATAACTGTACATGAATTCAGTAAAGTAGCAGAATACAAAATAAATATCTAGAAATCAGTTGCATTTTTATACACTGATTATGAACTATCACAAAGGAAAACTAAGGAAACAGTCCCATTCACAGTTCCTTCAAAAAGAATAAAATACCTAGAAATAAATTCAATCAAGGAGTGAAAGACCTGTACTCAGAAAATTATAAGACACTGAAGAAAATACAAATAAGTGGAAGCATATACTGTGCTCATGGATAGGAAAAATTAACATCACTAATTTTAATTAAAATGTTCATACTACCCTAAACAACCTATACATTCAATGCAATTCCTAGCAAGATACCAATGATGTATTTTACAGAACTAGAACAAATATTCCAAAAATTTGTATGGAACCACAAAAGACCCCAAATAGCCACAGCAATGTTGAAAAAGAACAAAGTTGGAGGAGTCATATTACCTAATGTCAAACTATACTACAAGGCCTTAGTAATCAAAACAGCATGGTACTGGCATAAAACACAGACATATAGACCAATGGAACAGAATAGAGAGCTCAGAAATAAACCCACATTTTTATAGTCAATACTAGAGGCCCAGTGCACAAAAATTCGTGCACTTGGGGCAGGTGGGGATGGGGGGAGGGATTCCCTCAGCCTGGCCTGCGCCCTCTCACAGACCAGGAGCCCTCAGGGGATGTCCTACTGACGGCTTAGGCCCGCTTCTAAGCCTCAGTCTGGCCTACCTTTGCGGGAGGCGATGACTGGCTGATCAGGGGAAGGTGCCGCCCCCATCACCCTGCCGCTACTGCCAGCTGCCCCGGCTGCCCCCGGCCCTCGCAGCTGCCCCCAGACCCTGGGGTGCCTGGCCAGTCTGGGTGGGTGGCTGATGGCTGTTTGCAGGCTGGCCACAGCCCCTTCAGGGTGGAGGTCCCCACTGGGGTGCCTGGCCAGCCTGGGTGAGGGGCTGAGGGCTGTTTGCAGGCTGGCCAAGCCCCCCAGCGGGAACCCTCACCCCATGAGGGTGTGGCCATCCTGGGTGAGGGGCTGATGGCTGTTTGCAGGCTGGCCAAGCCCCCCAGGGGGGACCCTCACCCCATGAGGGCGTGGCCATCCTGGGTGAGGGGCTGATGGCTGTTTGCAGGCTGGCCACAGCCCCCAGCCACCCAAGCTCCCAGTGGAGGCTTGCTGGAAGCAGGTATCTGGGATTTATTTATCTTCTATAAGTGAAACTTCGTTGCCTTGAGCGGTGGCCACAGCCAGCCAGGGCAGGTGGGAAGCTTGGCTTCCTCCATCACCGGGGCAACCAAGCCTCCTGCTTGCTCCAGCTCCATGGCTGCAGGCTGCCATCTTGGTTGGGTTAATTTGCATATAGTCGCTCTGATTGGCTGGTGGGCATGGCTTGGGGCGTAGCGGAGGTGCAGTCAATTTGCATGTTTCTCTTTTATTAGATTAGATACTATGCAATTCACCCATTTAAAGTGTACAATTCAGGGGACATATGTAATACTTAAAAAAAATAAAGTAGGTAAAGTGTATAATTCAGTGGTTTTTGTTTTGACATGTTTGTACTTAAAAATTATCTATGGGTCCTTCATATTAACTGCCATTACATGAGTCAAGCACACTCTATTCATTCTTTTATTAATGGGCAAATGCTTGTTCCAGGTTAACATTGTGTGTGCTCCTCCATATACACATGTGCTGTGAGGATTCTTTAGGGCAGCGGTTGCCAACTGGTGGTCCATGGACCCTTGGTGGTCCATGAGGTCTGAAAGGTTGGCAACCACTGCTTTAGGGTGTATGCCTAGGAGTGGAATTGCTGGGTCATGACACATGCTGAGCAGAATGGATGCAGAAGCTTTACATGTGCTTCTTTCCGTGTTGGGCAGCTGTGTAAGCTACCCAGGACCAGTCTTTTGCCGAAGTGTTGGGAGAATTCATTGTAAAGCATTACTTCTTTTAATACTCACTGTTTCTCATATCAACTCCTTTTGTCTGAGCTGTTCTTCTTTCTGAAACACAAAGCTATTTTTCTCTCTGGTAACTTTCAGGTTTTACTGCTCATTCTTGAGGTTCTGCATTTTCATTACTGTATACCTAAGAATAGTTTTTTTTTAATTGTTAGTATTCAAGGTGATCTTTCACTTTGTAGATACATGTCTTTTTTCAGTTCAGAAAATCATAAGCCATTATTTTTTAATTAAATTTATTTATATTAAACAAATAAATTCGAAGACTTGGCAACATGCTATGGTCTATTAAACACCATTATATTCCAACAAAATGGAGTTTAACTAAAGGCAAAATACACCAACTCTAAAAAAAGCTAAGCCAGTGATGGCGAACCTTTTGAGCTCGGTGTGTCAGCATTTTGAAAAACCCTAACTTAACTCTGGTGCCGTGTCACATATAGAAATTTTTTGATATTTGTAACCATAGTAAAACAAAGATTTATATTTTTGATATTTATTTTATATATTTAAATGCCATTTAACAAAGAAAAATCAACCAAAAAAATGAGTTCGAGTGTCACCTCTGACACGCGTGTCATAGGTTCGCCATCACTGAGCTAAGCCATTATTTTTTGAATATCCAGTATTCAGTAGTTGAAATATCCTGATCACTTCTCTCTTTCTCACAACTGTTCCTTATTTCTTTTCATCTCTTTGCCTCTATTTGCCTCAGTGTTGTGGCTGCAACCGTCCTAGCTTTCACTTCAGAAATTACATCTGACTTTTCCAGTCTAGAGGTTCTCTCTTGTTTTCGCAGTCTCCTTGCAGGATTGGACAGAACTGCTCCTGTCGCTTGCACACTTTCCAGTGATACTGGAGAGGGCTGGGATTTCCTATGGAGGTGTTAGCTTAGTGGAGGATGACCTTTGGCTGTACATTTCCCCCTTTCTCCCTGGTGTTGAGCCATCTGTAAGACACTTCCTATTCTTGTTCTCATCTGGGGTTAAACCTGCTTGTCATTACTGCCGGGCCTCCAGGTAACGTTTTCTCTAGCATCCTCTAACCTGGCTGGTCCTGTTGTAATACCTGGAGCATTCTAGATGTTGCTTCTTTCTCAGCAGAGCTCTCCAGCCTGTGTCCTCACATGGAGGTGTCTCATTGAGGTTTTGATTTTCATTTATCTAAGTATTAAAGATATTAACATCTTTTCTTCTTAGAGAAATGTCTATTCAGGTCATTTATTTTTTAGTAACAGCTTTATCAAATATAATAAATACCATGCAATTCACCCTTTTAAAGTGTACAATTCAGGGGACATATGTAATACTTAAAAAAATAAAGTATGTAAAGTGTACAATTCAGTGTGGGCTTCTCATGGTTCCTGACTGTTCTCCCGTATCTCAGGTAATCTGTATGATTTCTGTTCCACTGAGCTTCTCATTCACGTCTTTGATAACAGCTTTACAAAAATCAATCTATTGATCTATCATTTTTGAGTATCTGCTTTTCTTTTCAAGATAAATCTTTTCTGTCCTTCATTGAGACTTAGGAGGGAAGCAAAGTAGCCCACAATTTTGATCCATCTGTGAGTGAGTCTGACCTGGATTTGAAACTGTTATGTGGTGGGTGGGAAAGGGTTTCATAAAAGCATATGAACGTGACCTGGACTTCTGTCATGCTCCTCACAAGTTGTAATTTCTTCTTCTCCCACATGAATTTGTTACACTTCTTTCCCAAGGCCTTTCTTTGAAAACACTGCCCAAGCTCATACAGACCTCTATGATGTGAATTTGAATTTCCTTTCCAGGGCTGTAGTAAATGAGAATAATGTGCCCCTCCCTGAAGATTCCCTTGCTCCAGCGCACACCGCACCTACAGGAAATGGTTCTGCTCTAAAGGTAATAATATCTTTAATCTTTTAAAGGTTTTCCCAAAGACCATACTGAGTTGAATCCTGTAGTACAACCATGGGCATCTGGTGATGCTGATTCACACCAGAACTCAAGCTATGAGAAAAGCATTGAGCCTGAATTCTCTAGGGAGAGTCCTATTGTCAAATCCCCCACAAGAGGACCTCAGGGATTTTTCTCATTTTTGTGTTATTTGTTGGTATTTTTTGTTTGGGGTAGTCTTTAGTTTTTTGGGTGCTGGCTATGCTTCCTTAGTGTCTCAAACTGTACATGGCACATAGTAGGCACTAACTAGTCCTTGAAATAAACTTTCTGAAATAACAGCATCCTGCCATTGTGTTGCAGTATGGCCAGCTCATCACAGCTCCTGCCGTTCCCATACCCACTTGCCACTCCCTTACCAGTTTAGAAAACATTGAAACCTAGTTCATTGCCCAGTGAATGTTTTAATTTGCAAGTTAAATGAAAAATTATTCTTGAAAATAACATTTATCATTTTGCTCTTCTATTACATAAGCACATTTATTGTAGAAATTTCCCAAATATTTCAAAAAAGAAAAAATTAGAAATCACATGTATTCCCACTACCCCAAAACAGTGTAGTTAATATTTGGGTGTATAACTTTTCAGACTTTTGGGTTAAATGAACAAACAACCAGGATCTTCCTTTCTGCTAATTAAAATTCTAAAAAGATATATTGACATCTTTGACCATTGAAAATTGTTAGCGGAACCTGAGATTTTTGGAACAGGACATTTAGTTTAAAGATTTATTGCATATATAATATACACTAGACAGCATGCTAGGCTTTGGATTAAAATAGATTGAAACATAGTTTCTTCTGATTGGTTAACACCAATCGGGCCTCGGTCAGAATTATAGAAAGGGAGAGAGAATGCTAATGCCTTGTGGTAGAGACATGCACAAGCTGTTTGGGGCACTCTCCCAGGCCAGACGATGGGATGGTGAGATAGGAGGAGGGAGATGTAAGAAGAGAGAGAACACTTTTTTCACGTGTGTAATTAAAGTTGGCCTGAAAGCAGGTAGGTAGAAATAGAATTGTATAAATGAAAGGCCTTTTTTGTTATGTACTACATATCAGATACTTATTTCTCTTATTTCCATATTGGAATTTTATCTTTTGTACTTTTAAAGTTCTTCCTGTCCCCCCATACACACACATGCATGTGCACACATACACACACATGCATGCACATACGCACACACTCTGCAGTACAGAACTGTGTTCCATAAAGTGCTTCAAATACTAATGAAACAAAAAGTGTTAATTAACATTTATGGGGAAGTTCGTATTGTCCTCTTCTGCAAATAGTGAAGTTTTCATATACCTGGATAAAGAAGCATTTGGAATTCAGACATCTCCTTTACTCATCTTTCTTCTAGTCTACCCCTCTCTTCTAGTCTAAGAGCCAGAACAGCCCTGGCCAGTGCTGCTCAGTTGTTAGAGCATCATCCCTTGCACCTAAGGGCTGTGGGTTCAGTTCTAGGTCAGGGCACATTACCCAGGTTGTGCTTTCCATCCTCTGTTGGGGCTCGTGCATGAGGCAACTGATCGGTGTCGCTCTCGCTCTCCCTCCCTCCCTTCCTCTCATCAATGAAAAACATATCCTCAAGTGAGGATTTTTTTAAAAAGAACCAGAACAGTCTTAACCTTACCCAGATTTTGTCTCACCAAAAGTAATGGCTAATCTGCAAATTCACATAATGCCTAGCTTTTTAAAATTCTGATTATAGTCTAGGTTCCCCTCCCAGTAAAAGTGGAATCACTAATAAACATGATTCCTGAATGTCTCTGTTTGTTTAAAGGTTAACACCAATCAGGCCTCGGTCAGAATGATAATTTAAATTGAGAGGATATGGAAAAAGTAGTCTGATTAGTGGGTCATTTATCAACTATATATATTTTGTCTCCATAGGATGCTACAGATGAATTTGATGCCTTGCTTTTATCTCTAACTGAGAATCTGATTGACAGCACAGTCACACCTCAGGTAAATATGCTTTAAAACACCAAAATGGAAAAAAAATTTCTATTTTGCAAATGTTGCTGCTGGATTCCAGTTTTGGCCTTTTTAACAATTTAGTAAAACTTCACACTTAATAAGAGTTCATATTTCAGTAACACTTAGCATTGCCTTTTCTGTACTATAAAATTCTACCGATTTGAATGTGGGTGTCACAGTACAGTGTGTCACTACTATATGCCTATTTGTAATTCAGTACCATACTGTAAATAACATAGAGGAAATGTGATGATAAACCAGCTTAAGAAGAGTTAAGACAGCCCAGCCAGTGTGACTCAGTGGTTGAATGTCGACCCATGAACCAGGAGGTCATGGTTTGATTCCTGGTCAGGGCACATGCCCAGGTTGTGGGCTCAGTCCCCAGTGGAGGGCATGCAGGAAGCAGCTGATCAATGATTCTTTCTTATCATTGCTGTTTCTATCTCTCTCTTCCTCTTTAAAATCAATACAAATTATATTTTTTAAAATAGTTAAGACAATAAGGACATATTTAACTTTTTAAAATATTTACAGAAAGGTGGGAATATAAGAATGGGTGGCATTGAACATATTGATCATTATTGTAGTATGGGAGATACTGTGTTAAGTGCTATGATCATAATACAATAGTTCCATCCCACCAGAGACTTACAGTCTAGTGGATGAAAGGTATACAGATAACTCATCTAGTGACTTATGAGTAATGTGACAAAAATTGCTGTAGGAACTAGATATTCGAAGTATAGATGGTACTGCCTATGGTGCTGAATGTTTGCTTAGATTACTAGTTCTCAAACTTGGATGTGTAACAGAATCATCCTGCCAGTGATTAAAACATGGCTAAGGAAAGGAGGAAGTAAAACTCTCATTATTTGTAGATGACATGATATTGTACATAGACTCCACCAAAAAAATACTTGATGTATTAAATGAACTCGGCAATGTAGCAGGATACAAAATTAACACCCAGAAATTGATGGCATTTTTATATATACCAATAATGAACTTTCAAAAAGAGAAACTAAAAAAACAATCCAATGCAAAAAAAAAAAATTAAGATAATTAGGAATAAACTTAACCAAGGAGGAAAAGACTTGTACTTGGAAAACTACAGAACATTGAAAAAAGAGATAGAGGAAGATATAAACAAGTGGAAGAATATACTGTATTCATGGATTGGTAGAATTAACATAATTAAAATATCCATACTACCCAAAACAATCTATAGATTCAACGCAATCCCTATTAAAATACCAATGGCATATTTCACAGATCGAGAACAAATACTTCAAAAATTTATATGGAACCAAAATGAAGACCCCAAGTAGCTGCAGCAATCTTAAGAAAGAACAAATAAGGGATCACAATACCAGATACCAAGTTACACTACAAAGCCACCGTAATCAACAGCCTGTTACTGGCACAAGAGCAGGCATATAGATCGATGGATCAGAATAGAGACCCTAGAAATCAACCCAAGCCATTACACTTCTCCAAAGTGGACATACAGATGGCCAAGAGACATGAAAAAATGCTCAGTCACTGATCATCGGAGAGATGCAAATTAAAATGACAATGAAGTATCACCTCACACCTGTTAGAATGGCTACCATCTATAAATGACAGTGTTGGTGAGGATGTGGAAAAAGAGGAACCCTAGTGCACTGCTGGTGGGAATGCAGACTGGTGCAGACACTATGGAAAACAGTATGGCGTTTCCTCAAAAAATTAAATATGGAACTGCCATTTGACCTAGTGATCCCACTTCTAGGAATATATTCTAAGGAACCCGAAACACCAATCAGAAAGAATGTATGCATATTCCTATTTTCATAGCAGCAGTACAATTTACAATAGCTAAGATCTGGAAACAGCCCAAGTGCCCATCAGTAGATGAGTGGATAAAAAAGCTGTGGTACATTTACACCAGGGAATACTATGCAGCAGTAAAAAAAAGATGATCTCTTACCCTTTGAGACAGCATGGAGGGACCTGGAGAGTAATATATTAAGCAAAATAAGCCAGTCAGAGAGGGACAAGTATCACATGATCTCACTCATATGTGGAATCTAATGAACAAAATAAACTGATGAGCAAAATAGATCCAGAGACATAGAAGCATGGAACAGACTGTGGAACCTCAGAGGGAAGGGGGGGGAGGGTGGGTGGGTGAGAAGAGATCAACCAAAGAACTTGTACCCATATATGCATAACCCATGGACACAGACAATAGGGTGGTGAAGACCTGGGGAGGTGGGGAGGGGGGACTCGAAGAGGACAATGGTGGAAAAAGGGGACATATGTCATACTTTCAACAATAAAAATTAAAAAAAAACCCAGAAGGCTAGACCCCACCCTGAGTTTCTGATTTGGTAAGTGTGGGGTGGGGCCTGAGAGATTTTCTGTTTTTCTCTATTAGCTATAATTTTATTATACTTTTCACATTTAAATTTTAACCCATTTGAACAATTTGAGTTTTGTGGGGGAGGGGATGTCAATTGTGGTTTTGCTATAACCCAATTATGTATTTCATCCTTATATAGACTCCTTATAAAAAGCCAATTCTCTGATTATTATCTATTAAATAATCCATCCTTTCCCAATTGTTTTGTTACTAATATTTCTATTCTGTTTCATTGGGTTCTTTCTTTTTTTCTTGTTTTTGTTGTTTAGTTTTTTATTGTGGTAAAATTTGTATACTATATATATTGTTGTATACCTGATATGTGTGTGTGTGTGTGTGTGTGTGTGAGTGTGTGTGTATAGTATATACACACACATACCAGGTATACAACATTATAATTCAGTATTTGTACACAGTAGTTCCCTCCTCATCTACAGTTTCAGTTATCCAAAGTTTTGGTTACCCACAGTAAACCATGGTCCAAAAATATTAAATGGAAAATTCCAGAAATAAACAATTGATGTTTTAAGTTACATGCCATTGTGAGTAGCGTGATGACATCTTGTGCCATCCCCTCCACATGCCTCGGGCGTAGCTCATCTTCATCCAGCATGCTCACTCACACTGCTGCACTGCAGTGCTTATGCTCAAGTGAATTGCTGGGCCCTCTGTTCCTGCTCTAGGACTGTTGTGTTTTTATTTTCTGATATCTAGTAAATCTTCAACTATAACTTCAACTTTAGCATCAGTATGTCAGATTTCCCCTCAAATCTGCCTGCACTAAATTGGAGTCTATATTAAATTTATATATTTTTTTTAAGAAAACTGGCATTTTAAAAATATCCCTTTTCACAAACTTGAAATGTATTTCTAATTTCTCATCTTTATTTGAGTCACTAAATGTTCTCTATAAGTCTTCTATATTCCTCATTAGGTTAAGTCCTAAATGTAGTTTTATTGATATTGTGAACGGTATTTAATTTTTTACTATTGAATTAATAATTTGATTTTGTGTCTAGCAAACTTGCTGAATTCTTTCATTAGTCAATCTACTGATTCCCTTGAATATTCAGTCAGTTTCTAGGGTGTGTTTAATATCTCTACAATTATTGATTAATCCATTTCTCATGTCAGTAGTTGTTTTGCATATTTTAAAGATATGCTGTGAGATGCATATATGTTGATGATAATGATACTTAAGTTTCTTTAAGCACTTTAAAGTATCCTTCTTTGCCCTTTTTTTCTCTCTTAATTTCCCTCTTGCTTGATATAAAATTGACACCCTAGCTTTCTTTTAAGTTTGTATTACCTAGTATATAATTTTCTGTCCTTTTATTTTCAACCTTCCTATGTATCTGTTTGTTTTAAATGAATCTTTTATGAACAAGATTTTGTTGCATCTTGTTTTTAAAATCTTATTTGAGTCTTTATCCTCTGATTGAGTTTAATCCATTTATATTTACTGTAAGTATGGTAATAATAGGATTTGTTTCTGTCTAACCATTTTTTGTTTACTTTAACCATAGTTTCTCCTCTCTCTCTCTCTCTCTCTCTCTCTCTCTCTCTCTCTATCTCTATCTCTATCTCTATCTCTCTTTCCCATTTCCAGTGGTAAAAGTCCATTTTCTTTAATATGGATGGGAAAATAATACTTTGTATTTTTATTCTTTTGATGATTATAACTTATTAAGACCTGGACTTATTTTTTTTTCCAGAATATAAAGCTACCTGCAAGTGCTAGTCTAAGTTTTTATAAAATAGGGGAGTTTATTAGATTATAATTATACACATAAAAGTAAGATCTAGAAAAGTAAATACTGAAATAAATCTAACAAAGGCCCAATGAAGCAGAAGTATTACGGGTGGTTCTATTGTTGTTTTCTAATGAATGCATGATAATTAGAGAATGATCTCTATATAAACAGATGTTTTTTCCTGTGTACTTTTTTGTGCTATTCATTTTGATTTGTCACAATCCATTGTTCAGAATCCTACCAAGAAGGCTATAATTATTTGTAATGAACTAAAATTTCAGAAAATAAAATGTTAAACTGATGCTGAGGTGGGGGACAGTCCTATTAAATGAATTGAAAGTAGTAGTAGCATTCTTGGAGTAGTAAATTTTTAGATTAAAGAGATTCTCAAAATTATTTGTGTTGTAGAAAAGAACCTTGGATTCAGAAGTTCATGTCAGCTCAGAGGGACCATTAAGAACTGCTCCCTACCCCACCCAATGCATTTCATAGTAGAAAAAAGCATGGGGAGTATAATTATGAAAATAAACACATATATGTAATTTATTTTAGGTATCTTCAACATCCATTATCACGCCCCGGTGGATTGTGCCAGTAAGTTACTATTTGCAATTTTTCTATTGGTTACCTTTTCAGAGTGAGACCTAAAGGATTATCAGGCTCTTGTTTTTCCTTAAAAACAAGGGGTCATTATCAAAATTCTGTTTACTGACTTAATGGCTTCAAACTAAGCTATTTAACTTTTCTGTTTGTAAATGCTTATAAATGATGAACAAAATAAAAATCTGAAGGAAAGGATGATTAAAAACAAACCAAAACAACCACAATCATCAAAATCATTGTCCTCATTACCATAATCATTAGGAAGATGACTTAGAGCTGAAGCGCTGACCGTTGGGTAAGCATTGTCACCTCTGCTCTCACGTGTTGTATGTCTCCCTCAGCAGAGCAGTGTCCTTTCTAATGGACTCGCAGGAAATGGACCATCCTTGGTGGGGAAGGAGGGACATGATAGTGGAGACCTGATCTCGCTGATCTCTCCCCCAGCACCATTCTTGGTGGATGCTGTGACCAGGTGAGGAAATTTTTTTAGTTGTAGTTTTTAGGCATCTGTTATTAGGGGGAAAAATTAAATATATTTGAAGCAATAATGTAAATTTTTCTTTCATTGAACTTAATTTAAATTGGATAAATCTTTTCTCTGTTTACTCTTGAGACTAGTGTTTTCTTTTTTCTTGACAAGTAGCAATTTTCTACAAAATTATGAAGTAGACATTATGGCTTTTTAAATGAAATCTTCATTAGATAAAAATGTTACAGGCTTATCTTTTAAAATTTATATTTGGTTTTTTGTGTGTGTATTTTTAATTTATCTATTGTTGAAAGTATTACACATGTCCTCTCCCTCCCCCCCATTGACCTCCTCCACCCCACTCCTGTCCCCTCCCAGGCCTTCCTCTGCACTGTTGTCTGTCCATGGGCTACGCACATGTGCATAGTTAAATTGATTTGTCTTCCTTTCATGCTTTACTATTCTGTTGTCCATCAATATGGTGAAGAGACACAGCTCAGGGTGACGTAGGAGGTTCCCAAGGTGAGGATCTGAGGTAGCCTGTACTGAAACCTGTCGCACACTCTTTCTACATAGCACTTGCCACAGAGAAAAATTGGACTCAAAGAGCTTTTGTTTATCATGTAGTTCTTCAACATTTAGTTGTTAGGACCAAAACTGTGCTCATTTTACAAAAGCTTTAAAATTGCCTTCATTTTCACCTTAGACTTTTTCCTGATTATGTCTGGTATTTCTCATGTCCTCCTAGTATTGAAAATATGAGTCAATTGAAGTAAATGCTTTCCTAATTAGAGAGGAAAAATTATTAGATGGTTAACTTAAGAGAAATTTAATAGGTTATTTTTCTAAACATTTATCTATCTAGTAACTGCCACTATAAAAATAGAGATTACATACAGAGGACCAGATGATAATGCTTTATAATTGAGTTTGCACAATGTAATGTGAGTTCTTAAGGATTCCTAAATTAAAAATTGCAGATGAAAAAGAGCTTATCTCTACTCCTTCCCAAAGCAAAGTAGTCATAAAGGAATAAGAGAGAGAAAAATGACAAGTAGTATACCTGAAACTAATATAATGTTGTATGTCAATTATAATTCAATAAATGACAAGTAAATAAATCAGTGAAACAGAATAGAGTCCAGAAACAAATCAACACGTTTACAGTTACCTGACTTATGAAAAAACGCTATAGGGAAAGAATGGTCTTTCAGTAAATCAAGTAGACAAGTTAAATGTCCATGTAGGACATTTTTTAAAAAAAATTTCAATTAAATTTATTGGGGTAACTGGTTAATAACATTATATAAGTTTCAGGTATACAGCTTTATAATACAACATCTGTATACTCCATTGTTCACTTATATTTTCTTCTAAAAGCTTTATTATTTGATGTTTCATATTTAGATCTCCAGTCCATCTAGTATGGATTTTTGTGTGCTCACCCACAAAGTCTAGTGTCCTTTCATCACCATATATTGACTTCCTTTACCCAGTTTGTTCTCCCTGCATCCGTTCCCCTTTGGTAACCACCATTCTGTTGTCTTGTTTGTTTTGTCTTATTTGCTCACTTGTTGCTTTTTGTTTTATATCCCACATAGGAATGAAATCATTGTTCTTTTCCATCTGACTTACTCCACTTAGCATGGTACTCTCAAGATCTGTTCATATTATCACAAATGGCAATGTTTCATCTTTTTTATGACTGAGTAGTATTCCATTGCATATATACAACATCTTCTTTATTTAATCATTAGTTGAAAGACATTTAGGTTGTTTCTATATCTTGGTTATTTTGAATAATGCTGCACTGAACACATGGGTACATATATTTTAACAGTGTTTTAATATTTGGGGGAAAATACCTTGATTCACCTCATACCATACACAAAAATCCATACTAGATGGATTAGAAATCTAAATATGAAACAGCCTATCTAATAAATAGCAAATGTGCTAATTGACCGTCACACCCTCACAAAGATGGCGGCGCCCAGTCCCCTCAGCCCCACCGGGGGGCAGCAGGTGCTACGCGCCTCATCCAGCCGGAGTCCACCAGTCCCCTTAGCCCCGCCTCATCCAGCCTCAGTTTCCCAATCCCCTCAGCCTCGCCTCATCCAGCCAGAGGCCCCCAGTCCCCTCAGCCCCTCAGGGGAAGGCAGTTGGGGGCAATTGGGCCGGCAGGGAAGGGCAGTTGGGGACGATCATGCTGGCAGGAGAGTAGTTAGGCATCAATCAGGCCAGCAGGGGAGCGGTTATGGGGCTATCAGGCTGGAAGGCAGAGTGGTTAGGGGCAAATCAGGCAAGCAGGCAGGCGAGTGGTTAGGAGCCAGCAGTCCCGGATTGTGAGATGGATGTCACAGGGATTGGGCCTAAACCAGCAGTCGGACATCCCCCAAGGGGTCCCAGATTGGAGAGGGTGCAGGCTGGGCTGAGGGACACCCGCCCCCATGCACGAATTTCGTGCACTGGGCCTCTAGTCAAATAATAAAGCTTTTAGAAGAAAATATAAGTGAACATCTTTGTGGCCTTAAATAGAGGCAAAGGTTTTTTAAACAGGTCACAAAGAGCTTTATTCACACAGCAAAAACATTATAACTTGGGTTATATCAAGAACTTCTGTTCCTCAAAAGATATCATTTCGAGAGCTTGAAAAGGGAAGCCACAGAGTGGGAGAAAACATTTGTATTCCCTCCCTCTCTCTTCTTCCCTCCCTCTTTGTTTCTGACTCTGTCTCTCTATCCCTTCTTCCTTCTCTCTCTTGCTCTCTCCCTCTCCCCTCTCTGACAGAGGACTCATATCCAGTGTATATAAAGAGCTCTTATAAATCAATAAGAAAAAGACAACTCAATTAGAAAATTTCACAAAATAATTGAATAGACAGTTCACAAGAGGAAATACCGATAGGCAATAAGCATACCAGATAGGTGCAGCTTGACTAGTCATTGAAGAATACACATTCAAACCACCATGTGAGAACACTGCGTACTACCAGAAGGGCGACAGTGTAGAGAAGACACACAGTACCAAGTGTTGGTGAAGATAGGAGGCAGCTGGAACTCTGAAAATTGGAATAGCCATGTTGGAAATAGGTTTGACAGTATTTACAAAAGTTGAACATACCCAGTGAATTAGTGACTCTCTTCTTATGTGCACACCCAATAGAAGTATAAATATATGTGCATTGAAAGACATGTACAAGAATGTTTATAGCAGCTGTATTCATAATGATCCAAGCTGAAAACTTTACAAAAGCCCCTTAGCAGTCAGCTAGATAAATACTAGAATAGAGCAGTGAAGATTAATGAACTACAACTGCAATGTAGCAATACAGATGAATCACATAAACATATTTACATTATTCATTCATTGTTGTGGAACCAAGTACCACATATGTAGCAGCTTAAAACAATTCACATTTACAGTCTCACTTCCTGTGAGTCCTCTGCGTCAGAGTTCTCATAGGCTACAATCAGGGAGTGGCCAGGGATAGGTTCTCATCCTAAGGCTCAACTGGAGAAGGGCCTCCTCCAGTGATGGTCATTGGCAGAAATCAGTTCCTGAGGACTGTTAAACTGAGGGCCTCCATGTTTTAGCTGGCTATTGGCCAGAGGCTACCCTCAGTCCTTGTCACATAGACCTCTCCACAATAATTGCTTACTTCATCAAAGCTAGCAAACCAAGAAGGCAGTAGTATCTGCTAGCAAGCTGGAAGTCACAGTCATGTACAATCTAATCACAGAAGTGGCATTCTGTTACCTCTGCTATGTTCTATTGACTAAAGCAAATCACAACTCCTGCCCATGCTCCAGGGGAGGAGATTAAGTAAGCATGTGAATTCCAGGAGGTGAGGGTCATTGGGGATCATCTCCTCACCATAATGTAAGCAAAGTAAAGTTCAAAATGAGGCACAACTCCTAGAAATCAAAATAATGGTCATGCTTGATGTAGTTAGTGACTAGAAGGAAGTCCAAAAAGGACCTTTGGAGTGCAAGTAGTTTTCTGTTTCTTGATCTGCATGCTGATTAATTGCAAAGGTATGTTCCATTTGCAAAAAGTCATCAAGCTGTGCACTCATGATCTGTGCACTTCAGTGTATCCATGTTATAATCAATAAAACTTTTTTAAAAATGATGCCCGGTTGCATCTCTACAGATGAGATTTACTTTGAGTGTTCTCTGTAAAATTTAATTTGCAGGTATAAAACCACAAAGACAAAGAACAGGAGAGGAGACAACAGCAATTGAGAGACCTCAACAAGTTTTGGAAGCAGATAAATGATGAATAAGTAGTAACCAATTTTGCAGGCTCCATTTCCTTTTAATATAACTGAAATCTAAACCTGAAAAGGGGAGAGAGTGGAAACTGAGTAACATATAAAGCACACAAATTCACATTGCAGAGCCCTGGAGAGGCTCAGGAATTGAGGGTTCTGATGTTTGTGAAGATAGGGTTATACCCCATGTAAATAGTCCTCCCCAACCTACCCGTGCTGGAGGAGCTGGGCCAGAGAGGCTCTGGATTGGGGTTTCTGTAGAGTAAGGCCCCGAACTGAAAACAGGAAGGTTAACTCAAAGTCCACACACTGAAAGTCCAGAGTGTCGTTGGCTAAGCATAAATGTCTTGAGTGGGAAATTAAGAGGATTCTTTTACAGAGGAACTGACCCACCAAAGAGAAAAGGCCCACAAGGCTGTTTGTGGATCCCCTGATGGAATTGCCAGGAAATCCACCTAAAAGCTCTACCTGAAGCCCATTGATGTTCAGCAGTTTTGCCCACGGGTGGTTTCCAAACAGCATTCCAGTGCTTCCCTCTTCAGTATGATGGGAGCAAAGGTCATCAGATGTTTGAAGAAAGACCAGAGCAGGGAAACTGAATGAAAAAAACAGGAGGAAATAAAAACTACACAATGATAATGGGGTGAGGGAAAAGATAACGGACTGCATCTATGCAATAATACAGGACATTTAGAAGAAAAGGAACAGAAACTAATGTATTCTTAGAAACTATTAACCAGGTTAAAAATAAAACCCAAAGAATATGTGGAAGATAAGATGGAGGAAAATCTACCCCAAAATAGAAAAAGGTAAAAACTGGGAAATAAAAGAAAATTGGAGGGTTGGCCTAGGAAATCCAATATATGAGTTACTGGGGTTCTTGTCCCAGCATCAAGAAGGGTTCAGGAATCTGGAAAAGGCGTTGTGCGTAGATGACATAGGAATCCAGAGACTAATAAAGAATCCAGAGACGAGATATAATTTTGAAAGGCATTGGGGGTCAGAGGACCTTCAGCTAAAGAAACTAAAGACTCCCTCCTTGTCTAGGACCCTTGCTTTTATTAGCACAATTTGTCCTAAGGCAAGGTGGAGATAATACACTTCAAAGGGTAAGGTTTCAAAGGGTACAGAAGCACTGTCAGTTTGGGGAATAGCCTACGGCTGTTCAAGTGTTTGGCCAATAGGAGGCAATAACATGTAGATTAAGATGCCCTTTAACTGTCTGGCAGCCACAATCAGTTTCCTATTCAGGTTTGGGGAAATGCCTTTAGCCATTCCCAACAGATGACTACATGTGTCACTCAACCCTGTTGAGTCCCCAAGTTTCATCAACCTTTTGATGAAACTCTTGAAATTATGACATGCTGGAATTGGTCTACAGCAATGAGTCATTGGCGATAGAGAAAGAAGAACAGAGTAAATGAAAGTGAGAGAATTGTCACAAAAAGGAATCAAGATTCCCTAGAACAGAAGTACTTGAGTTTTTACATTCAGCAGGCCTACTGAGTACCCAGCACAGAAAACGAAAACAGACAACACCAAGGCGCAGCGTGAAATGTCAGAATATCAAAGTTAAGAGAGGATACATGTCTGTGGGGCGGGGGGAAGAATACATACGAAAGATTAGAAATCAGAATGACAGCCGAGTTAACTAAGAGCTGGAAGATAATGGAGCAATGTCTTCAGAATTCTGGAGGAAAAGCATTTCTCATCTAGAGATGTATAGCCAATCGATCAATGAAGTATGGGATTAGGAGAGAGAGATACAGTTTCTCTAAATAGTAGGTGCTTCTCCTGTGGTCTTCCTCAGGAAGCTATTCATTGGAGCATGTGTCCCATCAGAACTAGCTGATTATCTAAGAAAGAAGATGACATGGGAGCCAGGAGACAGAGGAGCGGGGATTTACCAGAAGGGAGGTGGAAGCAGCGTCCAAGGTGGCAGCTGCCCACCTAGGTCTGGAAAGCACCCTGTGGATTTGAAGAGGGGGATATAGTTCCAGGAGAGATGTTGCCAAGAAGGAAAACACATAGCCCACCCCAGATTTTTAAAACATACATGGCACGGCTGACCTACTCAGAAGAGATCCGAGGTTATCTGCGAGGTTAGGGGTCAATCGGAAACAAAGATAGAAAATTGGGAAAGTGGTTCACAACGAAAGAGGCAGTTATTCAGTCCCGGGAAAACGAACTGTGCAAGAAAAAATACTTAATGCACCTATATACAGTTGTGACAATATTTGCATAATTACAATAAATCATATTAGCATTGCCAAAAATTTTCTTAAACTGTTGAAAAGATAAGAATGAAGGATTGTGGGGCTGGTGAGTGGGGTGCAAGAATGTCACGTTTTGCCCTAGCTGGTTTGGTTCAATGGATAGAGCATCGGCCTGTGGACTGAAGGGTCCCAGGTTTGATTCCAGCCAAGGGCCCATGCTTAGGTTGTGGGCTTGATCCCCAGGAGGGGGCCTGCAGGAGGCAGTCGACCCATGATTCTCTCTCATCATTGATGTTTCTCTCTCTCTCTCTCCCTTCCTCTCTAAAATCAATAAAAAAAAGAAGAAGAATGTTACGTTTTCATAGTCTCTAGTAGGAAGTCATTGTAGAAACATCTCTTAGAACAGTTAGGACTGTCTCTAGTTGTGCATGAGAATTACCTAGAGGGCTAGTTAGAACACAGGTTCCTGGGCCCTACCCTCAGACTCTTTGGTTCTGTGTGTCTGGTATGGTGTCTAAGAATCTGCATTTATAACAAATTCCAGGGCCTACACTCAGAAAACCAGAGATACAGAAAAGTGAAGGGAAAATTTCAGAAAAAAAAACACCCCACAGTTGAAAGTGTTTGTGTAGTAGGAATGGAGAGGGTGATATAAATAATTGCTGTTTCATTTATAAATCTTGTTAGTATTTTTGATATTTTAAGCTACAATTGACCCTTGAACACAACATGGTTTGAATTGCACCAGTCTACTTATATGCGTATTTTTTTAAATTAATATAAATCCACAGATTCGACCAACCTCAGATGAAAACCAGTGTTTTCCATCCCCAGATGCATGGTGCCAACTATGCATTGTTCTATAGCATTTTATAGAAATGCTATATATATTCTTGCCAGTCTGAATATTGGGTGGATTTTGGTATCCATGGGGATCCTGGAACCAATCCCCAGTGGAAACCAAGGGGCTGTAATTAAGTTTTGAGGGAGTCAAGTTATGTGCAGATTTTCAACTGCATGGTGGTTGGCACCCCTAACCCCCATGTTCAAGGGTCAAATGTATGACCTTGTACTATATGTTTTGATATTAAGTTTATCTGAAACCAAAATAGATGCTATATCCTTGCACCTAAGTTTATGCTCTTCACTTACAACAGAGACTCTTTTGCAAAGCCTATATATTTTTATTTTTTTAATTGAATTAAATGTTTTATTAATCCTCACCTGAGGATATGTTTTCATTGATTTTGAGAGAGAGAGAGAGAGAGACAGAGACAGAGAGAGAGAAATATTGATCTGTTGCCTCTTGTATGCTCCGACCTGGGATTGAATCCACAACCTGGGTATGTGTCCTGACCAGGAATCGAACCTGCAACCCTTTTGGCACACTCACACCAGGTGACATTCAAACCAACTGAGCCACCCAGCCAGGGCCAGGGCCATATACTTTATTTTTCACATAGCTCTAACAAAACATACTGGCTGGTATAGAAACTTGGACAGCCACCTGATACTATGTAAAGAAGCACAGAACGGCCCACTGGGTTTTTCCTGAGCAGGTTCTGTCATGCTCAGCACAGTACTGTTCTTGGTATTCATAATAATAACTGACTCATCAAGTAATGGGCAAGTGTCTGTTTGGTATATTTTATTCAAGGAAGTAGGAGACATTGATATCTTTAGATTTCATTTCAAGATGAAATATGCATCAGTTATCTAGAAAATCCCCTTCTGTGGAATACCTCATTGCTAAATTAAGTATTACAACAGTCATTTAGGTCTGTTGTTTTATATCAATATGTTTTTATTAATTTCAAAGAGGAAGAGAGAGAGAGAGAGAGAGAGAGAGAGAGAGAGAGAGAGAGAGAAACATCAATGATGAGAGACAATCATTGATCGGCTGCCTCCTGCACGCCCTATACTAGGGATGGAGCCCGCAACCCGGGTATGTGCCCTGACTGGGAATCGAACCGTGAGCTCCTGGTTCATAGTTCGACATTCAACCACTGAGCCACGCCAGCTGCTAGCTGTTATTTACTCTCAGCATGCTCCATGTGGCACGCGTGGAGAAATGGGTGTTGTTTCAATCTCAAAGGGTTTAATTGAATAACTCATTCTTTCTTCCTTTCAGCTCTGCTCCAGCTGTGAGCGGAGAACCCATCTTGAAGCAGAAGTGTTTACTGACAACAGAGCTCTAAGGGATTGCCTCCTCCTCGCCTGTACCTGGAATGCCCAGCACCCTCCCACGGTCCGTCCTGGAATCAGTTCTGCTGAATGTGTTGGATTCAGGAGTTTGCCCTGTACTTGTTGGTAAAAAGTTTGCCTAGATTTGACTTCAGTTCCACGAAAAAACAACTATGTGTTTTGTCTGACTGGAAGAGTTTAATTACACTGCGTATTTCCTCAGATGAGGATACCTGGTCTTTTACTTTCTTTAGTTTTCGAAGTTTTAAATTCCTAAAACAAGGGAATGACGTTCCCTATGGTTTGCTTCAAGCTCTTGGCCCCACCTAGTGGTTGTAATTGTTCATAATGCTTCCTAACGAGGCAGTCTCTGGTGGTCAGTGTCATACCCCTCTCTCTCTCTCTCTCTCTCTCTCTCTCTCTCTCTCTCTCTCTCTCTCTCTCTCTGTGATTGTCCCTAACCTGTTAGAGAACTTGCACTTTTCTCTGCATTACCTGGAAGTCAGGGGTTTATGAACGTGATGAGGATATTATGTAGGTAGGTGCAGTGCTAGTTTTCTTTCTCTTTTTAACGATTATTACATTGCTAAAGAGCAGTTTAGAACACAGAGGGTTTTCAAATGTTGCCCATATTTTTGAATTCTTACTGGACTGGCTATCTTAGTTACATCAAGGTAAGACAAACCTTGAGGAGAACTACAGAGAAATCAATAGCCCGTCATTTTCAGCTCAGCCTTCCCACAGGAAGCAGTCATGCACCACAGGTTTCCTGTAAGTGTTCAGCCGGGAAAGGGGAGGGTGGGTGAAAGTCACCCTGGGCGTGTCCTCCTTCCTCACTCCTCTTCCTGGGCCCACAGACTCGGTGAGGAAGGAGCACAGACGCTCTGGGCTGGCACTGCTCCACGCAGGTACCTACTGAGCTCTAAGGGATTGTGTATGTAATTAAGTGCTCATTTATACTGCTCAGCATAGAGGAGCATCCAGTTTAGATCTTTAAACTCCTGGTGTAGGCTGTCCTGAGCCATTCGTGTGCTCAGGGGAACACACCAGTGTCTGGAAAGCTCAGGAACTCCAATGTGGGCTGTTTCCCGCCGAGCCAAGCCGTAGAGATTGGAAACCACTTTTGCATAAAGCAGTTGTGCTGAAGAAAAGAAAGTTCCCCTCCTGCCGCCTGCCTCCCCTTAGCCGTTCCACTAAGCTTGTGAATCTCATTGTGGAGCTCTTGCCAATTCTTAATTGTAAGACAAACTGCAGGGCACCTAGGGCAAGGGCTTGCCCAGGACACATCGGCCTGGCCCTCAAAGCTTCAGGTCCAACAACCCTGGATGCGCTCACTGCGAGCTTGGAAGGCCCACAGTTCCGTCCAGTTTGTACAGTAGCACCATCCTTACTTTTAACTTTCTGATATTTAGGGATTATGTTGATGTCGTTGAAAATATTCTATAGCCTTTGTGTTGTCAGGCACCTGTATTCTTGCCAGTCTGAGTAGTGATAGGGACTTTCTTAAAATTCATGTGAATCTCAAACTAAAAGGACATTTCGTCTCATGTCCTGACATGAGGTGTTAACATGGAAATGAGTGCTTTTTTTTTTTAATCCTCACTCAAGGATATTCTTTTCCATTGATTTTTAGAGAGAGTGGAAGGAAGAGGGAGAGACAGAGAGAAACACCATGTGAGAGAGACACATTGATTCGTTGCCTCTGGCATACCTCGGATTGGTGCCAAGAATCGAACCCCGGGACCCCTCAGTCCACAGGCCGACGCTCTATCCACTGAGCCAAACCACCAAGGGCTGGAAATGAGTGTTTTAATGGGGGGTTAGCCCTGACCAATTAGGCACCTGCCAGCTACACCTCTCCTGTCCTAGCTGCTGCGGGTGCCTCCCAGAGCCCTGTTAACACTCATCTTGTTCTGCTCATCTGGGGATGGAGGAGGAGGGCAGGCTGCGGGTATCTGTGACGTGTCAGAGAGGGAGCGGGAGGTCAGTCTCTGAGGAGAGAAGCCGTGTGAGGGAGTAGAGGATGCTAGCAGAGAGATCTGCGATGGCACTGGGTAAGAAGGCGCTGGTTTCTGAGGTGGTAACAGGGGCAGCTGTGGTGGCTCTACAGGCTGGTGACCTCCGGGGCACAGCCCTCATTCCAAAGATTGAAATCCACATCCAAGTCATCTGATGAACTGAATCAAGGCCGGATCCTCAGATGAGGGGAAATGGCCCTGCTCACTGTTGAGAATGACTGAGCCGGGCAGGAAGTCTTTCTGAATCGAGATGAGGTTCCATGCCAGCACCCGCAGCTGGAAAGCAGCCGGGCACACGAATGCGCTGGGAGCAGTGAGAACACCTCTGAACAGCGGAGAACTCGTTTCCGTGAGCCCCCAGCTACAGAGCTGTCCGCTTCCTCCTCTGGAGGGGCTGGTGTGGATGTTTAGCTGAGATAACAGACCCAGATGCAAAAGGCAACGGAAGGCTCTTTAGCCCAGGCTCAGCTGCACTGTGGTCACTCTCTTTCCGGTTTCCAGGCCTGGTTGGCTCTGCTGGCTCCCTGGGGGTAGCAGGATAGAGCTTGTGCCTGAGTGGGCTCAGGCGGGTGTTAGACGTGATGGCGCTGTTGTCCCCTTGCCATGCCTCATTGGCCTGTGAGTGTTGCTGTCACTGCTTCCTAACGCTTTGCTGTGCACTGCCCTGGGGACACTTCCCTCGGTCCCTGCAGTGGCCTGTGTGCTGCTGGCCGTGGGGGAGCAGGAAGGGCAAGAGCCTCAAATCAGCGGATGCCAGCCCTGGTGGGAGGGCGAGTGCCGGTGTGGAGGAGGGTGTAGGTTTCGGAGTTCTGCCCCAGCCCCTTCTGCGGAGCCTGGGCGGGAGGGTCCTCTCTCCTCCTGTGCTCAGTAGTGTTGCCTGTGTCCAGGGACGGCTGGTGGTTCTTTCTTTCCTGCCCTTCTGGGGTCACTGCTGAACAGAGAAAGGTTGGTCTCCTTAGATCCTGATAAATTTAGGCCGTCCCTAGCAGCTTTCCCGAGACTTTATGTTGCTTTCAGAAAGATTGTGTTTAGAAATACTTCTGCAGTCGGCTAACTGTTGGTCTTCTTTTGCACGATCACGATGTTCTGTGGACAATTCAGGAGGACAGCTGGGTCGGAGCTTGTTCTCCTAGCTGCTCGGTTCCGACTAGCACCCTCCTCTGCCTTCTCGCCTAGATGAGCCTAGATGAGCCCTGTCGGAGCAGAGCTCCCGCAGGCTTCGGGGCGCTGAGGCGGCGAGGGTCTGGGGAAGCCAGCTCCTGTCTCCTCGCCCAGAGAGGCAGACCTCCTGTAGAAGCAGCGGCAGCTAGTTCTTCCTGCGAGGCCATGGGAAGTGCCCGGGCATGTGTGTTCCGGGACATTTCACTTACAAGCACAGGTGCGAGTCCTGATTCAAGCTTTGTGGTTGTAGACTGGCTCCGTGGGAGGCGGGCAGGTATGCACAAGCCTGCATCACCTGTCACTGGGGGGCACCGGGCATTCCAGACGTGGGCCTCTTCACTCCCACGCGGACAGGATGTAGTCATGGGCCTCCGGCTCTGGGAGCCTTTGGAGCGGCCTCCAGTTTCCTGTTAATCTTGCCCTCAGCCTCTAGCTGCTTAGAGAGCTGCAGTCTCCTGTGGACTAAGGAATGTACATTTCTATTTTATTTGTTCTTTTCTCCTCAAAAATGTAAACACACTGATCAGAAGAAAGTTGGAAGCTTTCCCTGCTCTCAGCCAGGAAATGCAAAGGTGTGAGGACTGGAAAGGCGCCGCCCCTGCGTGTGCGTGGGGTGGTGCGTGTGGGAAAAGGGCTGGCTCCTCACCCCGAGGCTGAGGCGGAGGCATCACTCCCGGGACCTGCAGGGAGGGGCCTGATCTCCCTCCTGGGTGCACAGAAGCTGTAGCCTCACTAACCACTGTTTACTTCTCATGTGTGAAGCTTTGCGGTCGCTTTGCGATTGGACTTTGTTTTCTGTCGGGTGCACTGTTCATTCACGCGTCCGCGGTTTTGTATGTGAGAAACACTGCACTGAACTCGTGTGTATGCTGAGATGACAGCTGTAGATGTGACCACAAATAAAGCTTTCGAGAAACACTTCCGTTTTCTGAGCCGCCTCTGTGCCCTGGGAGCGGAACCTACCCGCGGGCGTTTTCTCTCGCAGCAGCCGGAGGTCCGAGCGCAGCTCAGGGGACGCGAGGATGGACACAGCGCACGGCTCTGGGCGTTCATTTCAGGGTCTGGTGCGCCTTTGGGAGCAGAGGAAGTAGGAAGGGTGAGGACCTGGGTCACACAGCAGCCGCCCGGTGCGGGGCGGGAGCAGCTCAGCTCTGCTACTGAGCAGCCCTGAGACCAGTCAGTCCCTACCGCCTCCGCAGGGGAGGAGGGGACCCCCGTCTCCTTCCTCAGGCCCAGCCGCCTCCCTGTGTGCACGTGGCACCACCCCAGGGAAGACGTGCTGGGCAGCGCCCGGCTGCTGAGACAGTCTCCTTCCCCCTCCCGCCTCCCCCTGGAGCGCAGGGAGAGGCAGGAGCCCGGCTCAGCCGCTGTGCTGGGAGCTGCCCCCAAAGGGTTTGGTTTGGTAATAAGCAACCAAAGCCGCTCCAACTTAAGCAACACAACTCCCTGGGCAGATACGGGGACTCTCTGCACCAGCAGGAAGCGGGGACAGCGGGAGTGAAGGGGGGGAGAGGACTCCATCTGGACTTCGACTGGCACCTTGACTGTGTGCCCACACCGTGGCCTCAGGGTAGGGCACCCAAGGCCAAGGGTCCAAAGGGAAGGGAATGGGCTACCAAACCACAGACGATCCCAGCCTCCCCACAGGACAGATCAGTGGTCAGACCAAGAAAAGGAAGGAGGGGCGGAGGCAGCTCAGGCGGGGAGCCCGAGGAAGGGAACTCGGGTGGGTTGTGGCACTGACCTGTCTTAGGGTGACCTGCCCCAGGAGACATTCAGCCCAGCTGTGCTTGGGTTCTGACTCCATCGGAGGCCTAGCGGGGCAGAGCAGCCCCTCCCACAGCAGGGTCGCTCCTGCCATGGCCCTGGGGTGCTCCCACCCTCTGTCTCCAGGATGGCTGGCGCTGGCAGGCTAGGCACTGAGGCCTTTGGGCAGAAATAGATTTTCAAGATGACCCGGTCCCAGCTCCTGCATGTGACAGTCAGAAAGCCGGAGCAGCTAGGCCAGGGGCAGGCGTTCAGGTCGGGCTTCCAGGACACCACTGCTCTGCTCAGCCACTGCCCTCAGCTGCTGACCATGACTTCCTGGGTCGGGTCACCACGAGGGCAGTCACATTTCCTGCTGCGCAGGCCTGTCCTCCCTGGGTCCAGAACTCCCACAGGAGAAGCTCATTCATTTCACAGCTCAGATCTGGGAGACCCACATGGTTCTGCGTCCTCCGTGTCTCTAGAGGTCCTGGGTAAACAGCCCCTCCTCTTCCCTGGGCGGCAGCCAGCATTCCACACCTCAAAGCGGTCTCTCCACATCCACCCGGTTCCGAGTCCCTCTTGTCCCATCCCACCCAGAGCCCTGATGAACCGTAGCTCGTGCGTAGGTGGCCAGGTGTTCGTGGAACATCCCCGCCTGCCCAGGGCACTCGCTCTCAAGGGGCTTGCCACTGGTTCTTTTTTTATTTCTATACACAAGTCTTTATTTTCCCATTTAAAAGAAAGAATCACGTTTTACATTAGATCCTTGGACCTTACTCATCCATTTCCTCGACCCCCAACCCCAGCAACCTCCATTCTGCTCTCTGTGTCTGAGTTCAGCTTTTTCAGAGTCCACACATGAGATCACACAGTATTCTTCTTTCTATGTCTGACTTAGCTCACGTAGCAGAATCCGTTCATGCTGCCACAAATGGCAGGCTGAGTAATATTCCATTGCCACACCACATTTTCTTGGTCCATTCATTCCCTGATGGACACTTAGGCTGTTTCCATATCTTGGCTGTTGTTATAATCAAGGTGTACTAGTGAGTAATGCCACTGGTTCTTAGTCAGGTTTTAGCTCAGTGACTCTTGCAAATCTGAGCACATGGGCAGTTTTACACACAATTCCACGTGCTGGTTGCCCCTCGGAGCCTCGGTCTGAAGCCCTTGCCCTAGATTAATGATGGGAATACCAGGCCAGCAGAGAGGAGGCAGCTCTACCACAGGCTCCTGCTGGCTCCGTTGGTAGCACTGGCCAGCGGTAAAAGCTCAACAAATTGAAAGGAAGGCCGGAAGGCATACAGCATTCTTGCCTAGAGTATTAAAAAGCACAACACTTTAAACTGACTGTGCGGGAAGCCATCCACTGTCAATACGATCATGAGAGTGCACCAAGGAACACGGAAGGCTGATGGACCTTGGACAATTAGAGGGCTAATACCATGCACCATTGTTATGTTGAAAAGGCAGTGGCTCGAAGCAATCTTCTGACCTAATAGCCTCAAAGTAAATGTTTACTGAACCTGACTGATCTTTACTGATCTTTATTGACCTTAGAGACGGTCTGCTACCTGTTTGCCCTGCTTTACTGAGGGCAAGATGTGTATCTAAAACTGAATAAAAAGCGGATAAGGCCAGGTTTCAGGGTGCTTCTCCAAGACAGAGCCTCCACCTGGCCCCCCATGCCTTCTAAATTCGTATTTCTTGTCTAGTGTTTTCATTTGTGCGTCGGCCCCTTCTTCAGATCCTGAACTCCTGCTACAAAAGGTTGCGGCACAACAGTTTTAGATGTGTTCTTACCGAAGCACAAGAATGTACAGATCCATCCCATTGGAGCCCTGTCCATCAGCCTCTCTGCCTTGGCCTTGTAAACGGGGGTGAGACTAACCCTGCCTCCTGGTGTGGTGAAGGCTGCATGAGCTGATCTGCAGTCCCTGTCTCCAGCCCCCGTCTCTGCCTGGACCCTCCTAGCGCCATTGGGACATCACACAAGCACCTCAGACTCCACCAGCCCCACACACCCAAACTGCTGCTTCTTGGCGGTCCTGACCGGGATGGGTTGTCCGCCTACGCTCAACTCATCTCCCCCGTGGCCACTCTGTCTTCAAGCCCCGAGTCTGCCTCTGCACTGCCTTCTTGTTTCTGCAGCTACACCCCAGCCGTGTCGCATGTGCCTGGGGCTCCTGCAGCTGCCTTCCGGGGGTGTCCCCATGTCGGTCATGGCTTCATTTCCCACGGTGGCTAGAAGCGAGGTCACGCTCCTCTGCCCTGGGGCCTCCCATTGCCCTGGGCACAGAATCCACATTCCTGCCGCTCCCAGGACTGGCCAGTGGCTGTGCCGCTTCCACATCTTCGGGGCCGGCCTGGCTCTCCTGCCTAGGCCTTCCCTCCTCCTGCCCTGGCTGAGGGCCCACGTCACCCTCCACCTCCTCAGAGGTCCCTGTGTGCACCCGGTATCAGTCCATTCCCAGTCGCCACCTTTGTCAGGGGCTTGGTCACTGTCCTCCCGATCATAAAAGCTAGTCCTCCTTACGTCTGGGGCACCCAGCACACTGCCTGGCGTGCGGTGGAGCTCAAATATTTGCCGAGTGAATGCTGAATTGATTAGGCAGCCACTCTGTTCCACGGACCTGCCAGGTCTTTAATTTTGGTTTCCCATCTCCCCACACTGCTGTGGCCTGGCCACCACGGGGGCTGGACCAGGGGTGTGTCTGACTCTAATGCCTGGATTCACATCCCAAACCTCAGGCCTCACACAGCAACCAAGTGTCCTGGTTTCCTCGTGACCAAGAGGGTTCCTGGGACCTGGGACTTTCAGTGCTGAGACCAGGATGGTCCGGCACCCAGGGGCACCTTCTATTCACAGACCACCATCACCCGTTTGCTGCATCTCTGCGTTATGCTAGTGACTTCACATTTATCTTCACACTAGAGGCCCAGCACACGAAATCGTGCGGGTAGGATCTCTAGGGCCTAGCCTCCTGTGATCAGGGCCATCTTCTGCCCGTTCGCCAGTCCCCAGGCCAAACGCTGCCGCTGGGCTGTCAGGCCATTGGGATCACCAGTTCATCCCTGGCTGCTCGGGGGCTCAGGCCTGCAGGAGAGCAGATGCCAGTGACTTCACCTCCATGCACGTGCACCAGGCCAGCTGCTGATGGAACATGCTGCCCACTCAGAGCCGTTCACATGGGCACCGCTGCCGCCGCTGCCGCTACCACTGCCACTGCTGCTGGGGCTTGAGTCGCTGATAGAAGCTGCAGGGTGCGCCTGCGACCTGCCCGCCCCAGTGTGAGCAGCCCGAACAGGCAGTGCGCTCACCCCTGTGGAAGCCTGTCCAGCCCTGGCCGCCCAGACCCTGCCTCTCCTGCCTCAGCTCTCCGGGAAGCACTTCTGCCTCCTGCCATTTGATTCTGGGAGTGCCATCGCTCATCAGGGCATGTAGGTTATCTCCTGTTACTAAGACTAGAGGCCCGGCGCACAAAATTCATGCATGGGTAGTGTTCCTTGGCCTGGTCTGTGATCAGGGCTGATCAGGGCCTCCGGCTGCCAGCCAGGGCCTTTCTTCATTCTGTGCCACCCCCTGGTGGTCAGTTCCCATCATAGTGAGCGATCAAACTCCCAGTTGAACTCCTGAGGGGGCACTTTGCATGTTAGCCATTTAAATATATAGACTAGAGGCCTGGTGCATGAGATTCGTGCACTGGGAGGCGGGGGTCCCTCAGCCTGGTCTGTGCCCTCTTGCAGTCCGGGACCTCTCAGGGGATGTCCGCCTGCCAGCTTAGGCCCTCTGCAGCACCCGCTAGCCTTGAAACCACCACCACCATGTCCACAGCCACCACAGGGGGCGCTGCAGCACTGACACTGGCAGGTCCAGCTGGAAGGACAGTTCTCTGCTCCTGAGTTACTTCCAGTTTGCAGGGGAGCAGCCCCTGGAGGTGGTGGGGCCCCTGGGAAAGTGAGAGACAATGTCATGGAATTAGGTATCGGCCCCAATGTGCCAGGTGGAGTTTATCCCCTTTAGGGAGAGGTAAACCAGCTCTCTGGGTCCCTCCTCACCAGGAAGGAGAAGCTCTCAAGACAGGATCGTCCCTGGGTCCTGGAGGCCTTCACTGTCCCTTCCTCCAGCCACTGGGCAGGGCCCTCGGCACCAGGCACTGCACCATGAT